ATCTGGGAATATCATACTACTGTGACAAACAGGTCTGGGAAACTTTTGAAGTTTGTAGGACATAACTTCTTTTCACAAGCACTCAGTGAACCAATGAGGAGAGAAGCCTTAGACTTGCTGTTTGTGGATAGATGGAATTTGATATACATAATTTCACAGGCACTTGGCCAAAGCTGCTGTTGATTACCTTATTTATGACTAGGTCCTTCTCTGTTAGTTTCAATCTAAAGAGTGCCATATCTGGCTGACCCATCTAGCTTCTGTGATAAGAATTTGTCCCAGTCCCTTCCAAAAATCTCCAGGTTTGCTTGCATCTCTCTGTGTTCTACTTCTGTCTATTGTTGAGAGGTTTAAAGTCTCTCGTCAGGACCAGGATCTTGCTTTAAAGAGGACTCAATATACTTTCCTCTCCTGACTTTGCATGGTATCAAATTCATATCACAGTGTCATCCACACTTTGGTCCTGGGTCACCACATGTCATCAACCAGCTTGTCCATTCCATACCTTCCAACAGTTTTCTTGATGTGAAGAACAGCCTTCCTTCTTCCCTCCTCATCTTTCCTCATGAACCTCTATCTGTCAATTGCTGCACAGTGGCCACTCAAGCTGTTTCATCATACCTCAGTTATTCCAACTGTGTCTGGTTTTTCTGGGCATATTCGGAGCTCCAGCTTTGCCTGTTTGTTTTCCAGTATTTAAGGGTGTTATAGGAACTGCTGAATCCAGCAGACACTGCTCCCACAAATTCTTCCTGGCAGCCGAAGCCTATCCGTATGCACTCTGAGAGTTCAGTAGTGAAGTTAACTAGTGAAAATACACCCTCCCTCTCCAAATTACACCACTGTGTTGCTGACAGGTTAAAAATTCGGGAGCCCCTTTTTATACTGATACATTGTGATTGCTGTGCATTGCCCTTCTACACACAGTGCAAAGCAGAAAAAAAAAAAAAAAAAGCAGAATCTTCACAAGTTATGAATTATCAGCTTCAAGTGAGCACTCTGCATACTTTAAAGGATTACTTCATTAGTTAGATTTTTGTTGTGTTGTCTTTCTTGCTTTGTAGGTACTACCATTCTCTTCCCTAAGGGGCAGCCAGCCGAAAATTTTACTTCGGCTCATCGGTAAAACTTGAAGCAATTTAGGCAACTGCCGAGCTTGTTTAATTGATTCCCCCAGCATCCTTACATATGCACGTGAAAAAACCCACAGAAGAAGAAAGAAAGTGGAGAATGTTTACAGATTTCATAAACAAAGAAAAGGCATCATCCATACTCCATTTGGATCAAACTTACTCCAGCGACTTACAAAACTCACTTTTTCCTTTAACAAACCAATGTCATATATCATAGAGAAAGTCAGAATAATTGTTTGTAATGCTTTGCATGCCATAGAAACACTTCTGTTATGCTTAAAAAAGATATATTTGATAAGTCAGACCAGTATTTAGGATCATAAACGCATCTCAAAACTATAGTAAGTAAAGACCATGATTGGCCTTTGACTACTCTTAGAGAACAGCTAGGAAATTTAAATTCTTGTTGATGACATTAATTAAAAAAAAACCAACAACCAGATATGAGTGTATTCTATAAGTTCCACTTGCACATCAACATTCAAACTGTCGAAGTTTTTCTGCTTTTAAGACTTTCTATGCTTGATTAATTAATGAATTAATTCTATTTGTGACCTTGAAAATGTATTCCATATTGATATGCTAGTTTTTCTGTCTGAGTTCATCTTTGTGAAATGTGTATATTGGACATTCCACTGCAGAGAAGTAAGTTATGAAAAGAGTACATAAATCTTCATTGAGACACTGCATGATTCTGTTTTCTTCATGGTTTTGTTTTCAGCTTGTGAAGAAGAACAGAAGAAAGTCCTACTGCAGACATGGCTTAATAATCTAGATTAATTAATTAATTAATCTAGATTAATTTACCTAGATTAATTTACCTTTTTCTTTCATTTAATTCTAGTTCAAGCTACTGCTGTGTTTCTTATTCTGGCATATTTGTTGGGCTTTTATAATCATACTTAAAATTTTCTGAGGTTAAGAAGAATTTAAGGGTAGCTAGGCATATCAAACTTCAAAAATATGAAGCCAAGAAATAGGAAAATTTGCTAAGAATTGTGCTATAAAATAAATATGTATGTATAAATATATAATTTTGTGTGCCAGGGTTCTCAGGATGCTTTGTGAAATTGGAAGTTAGAGGAGCAGGTTTAGAATAATTGTTTCCAGCATCTGGTAGAATAAAAGGATTTAGAAGCCAAAGTGATCCTGAGGTATCTCAGCAGTACTGGTAAACTGAAAGAGCACATTGAAGGAAGAGTAGAGAGAGCTCTTTTAAGAGCAATATAGAAGCAGTGGGTTATCTCCTGGTTATCTGTATTATCATTTCTTTGTTTAGTGGGTTTTGTCCCCATAAAATGTACGGAGCTTTGAGGGAAAGTCAGGATTGTTCCGAGTTAGAATCTGTGTCAGTCTCTTTAGTAGGTGTTAATCATGTTTCTTTAGAAAGATGGGCATTGGGCAAGGTCAGACATGAGTTTAACATGTGTCATATAGTAAAATTTCTAATAGCTCCAGAGGTTTCAGCAACATAGGAATTCATAGTTTAATCCAGATGTTAGTCTGACTATGAGTTGGTGAAATGAGAAATTTGTACCTAACTGTTCAGCTTGTTTCTTGAAGCCATCTGATAGGTCAAGCTATTCTCTTCATAGGGTATTTCCGCTATGGAGTCCCAATTCAGATGTACTTAAATTAATGGTATATTAGTTACCAAATGTAAGTTAGAACAGCAGTATTAATAATGATGTAACAGACACCTCCAAATCCTTGTGTGTGGGCTATAAGAATATCTTGGTCTTAGAGTTCATCACTTGGTCAAGTGTTCATCAAGGACTCTGATAACTCCACTTTTTTTTTTAATGGTCCGTATAATTTACCAATTTCATTCTGGTTGTGTGCTTTTTTAAATTTGATTTCTGTATCTTCTTTAACACAATGGGTTCCTGCTTTAGAATTGGGATTGCTGTATGTAAATAATTACACTTTTTCTTACTGTTAGCTGAAGTGCTACACATAGATAAAGGGACATGAGTTTGATATAATGTATTTAAACATTTCACCATTCTTCTAGAATGCTCCAATCCATCCCTCAGTAGCTTAATTTCTCCTTCTTAAGTTTCTGGAATATATTTTTTAAAACACCTAATTTACTTAAAAGAACTAACAGAATATTGAGAATACAAAGTGTGTAAGGCCTCCCATTCCCTATATCTATATTCATTCTGTCTTAGAACGATTTATCAGAGAAAAAAATGCAGAAACATGATTTAAAAGGAATGTTAAATCTTGTAGGTTTAGCGGTAGGAAAATAAAAGTTTAGGTACGCAGAGGTGGTGTAAGAGCTGAGGGCAGTGTGGATTTAAGTTGACTTTTAAATTTCTTACCTTTTTCATTCCAATCATAATCGTCCTTTTTTACCTGTTACAAAGAAAGAGTGATACTTGCTAGAAATCTTGTGATACCTGTCAGCGAAACAACATATTTGAGAACAGAATTAGGATTGGACTGTTAAATTTTGTTTTAATATAATTTAAATTCTCACATATTTCTTCTTTCACTATGTGTTTGTTCCTTATTTTAGAAAGCATTGTTTAGATATAGTATATATAAAAAAAGATTTTAAATACCACACGATAACAAGGAAGGTGAATAAGGTCTTTTCATACTTGATTATTCAGTTTTAAAGTTATAAAAGTACTGAATTGCTCCTCTGGAATTTCATTGTGCCCAAAATTTGAAAACATACTTCTTTCTGGAAACATTTCCCAACCTATTAATGAAGGAGTGAGTCAGCGTGATGGATACATGGGAATGTTTGATGTTAGAGAAAGACACGGTAAGGGACTGGAGTTTAGGACTGCTCCATATAAAAGTTAATATGGGCATATTTGTTATGAATCTGTAGGGACTGGGATTTCTGCTGGTGTGTTTGTAATATTTAGCAGTAGTTAGCTAAAGAAGCGCAAGAACCTTGAGCTGGTCCAGCAGTTCAGTATTCTGGAGAATCATAGAAGCACAGAATAGTTTGGGTTGGAAGGGACTTCTAAAGGTCATCTAGTCTGACCCCCTGCAATCAACAGGGACATCTTCAACTCGATCAGGTTGCTCAGAGCCCCATCTAAGCAGATCTTGGATGTTTCCAGGGATGGGACATCTGCCACCTGTATGGTAATGTACAATGCACATTCAATATATTTTACCAACACTAGGTATCAACATTCACAGCTGGAACAAGATCACAGTGTCAGGGAAATTATATTATATGACATTATTAACTGTATTAAGTGTACTCTTCCCACAGAATTTTAGTTAGTATCACCTTCTGCTTAAGGAGACCAAATGTCTTTAAAGTTTTGAGTATTTCTTTTATGTGTCAATACCTATGTGAAAAAAAAGGAAAAGAGTAACTGTTTTCTATATGTTTGTGTTTTGCATACTTCTGTTTTATATTAATCAATGTAATTACCTTATTACCTTCTCCTTAGGTGTTGATCTCCAGGTTTGTACTTCTAGAAATCCAACATGCTGTACTAAAAAGATGGAAGAAAGGTATCAGACTGCAGCAAAGCAAGATATACAACAAGTGCTTCAAACATCAAGTGCTACGTTAAAATTTTTAATATCTCGTAATGCAGCTGCTTTTCAAGGTAAGGCTTTCTGCTTTTTGTTTCCAAACTTCTTCATACTTTTCTTGGTTTTCATCTTTGATTATTTTATGCATGTAATAAAGTCATCTGTTAATTTTTAGCTTCTCACTATGCTTTTATGCTTTCGAATAAGGAGCGTTAAATAAGGCAAGTGATTAAGAACTGCATTGCTTTTGAAATTTTCACAAATATATTTAAAAAATATAATTTGTGAAAAAGTAAGACACTATTTTAGTAAGATTCTTTGATTTTAATTGTAAACCAGTAACTTGACATTCCTCTTGAACTTCTTTAATTTAGGTGATACTAAAATGCAAAATTAATGCCTGGAGTGCTACAAAAGAGGGATTTTTGTTATTACAGTATTCCCACCCACCATATTCTTTGTCTTTTTCTAACAGATGTACTTGGGTAGCTTGGTTTTGAGGTTCATTTTTTGGGATTTAGTTTTTTAAGCTTTTGAGTTTCTAGAACTAATTGAAAAAAATTGTAGGTTGAGCAATAGTTGTTCTAATGCACAAATAGGAAGATATCACTTAAATAATAGTTATTTGGACTGGTGGTGGGCTTACCTATTCACAATTATCCTGCATATACTATTCATTTTTTTCTGATTTAATAAGGCATAAGTTAATGCAGAAATTGGTTAGGAGCTGGGAAGATCTGAAAAACAGCAGCGATACAAGATCATAAGTGGTAGAAAGGGATATACAGTTCACATGTGTTGAGGACAAAGTCCTACAGTCTTGTTTTTTGTCTATTAATATGTACCTATGACCTTTATGACCACGTGATTGGACAGGATAACATGGTAACTTCATACAGGATTGGGAAGTTGTCCTTCTGGTGACTCTGTTGTTTTTAACCTGTGAAGTTGAAATGATTAGCAGAATGGGGTCAGAAAATGGGCAGAAAAGTTGACTTTGGAGTTCTAAAGACTTCCCTTTTTTGAAATTTAGGCTGTCTAATGCTAAAAACAACTTGGAGTTGCTCTCTACCTTCTGGGAGTTTTGCCATTTAGCCTGCTTAACGCAGCTGTCAACGGGTGTTATGATCAGGAGATCGTTGGTAAAATGTGCAAAGAAATCTCTCCCTTGCTCTCTTCTCCCTTCTTTCTTCTTTTCAACTTGTGTATATTAACTTTTTTGTACCATAAGAGTATAATATGTTGTACTGCTTTGCTGACCTAGGGCTGTAGACTCTGCAGAGCTCAGTGACTAACTGTACTTCGCGTAAGTGGGTGCTGTACTCTTTGCCTCAGTGTTTTAAGATCTCCTCTTTTCCCCCAGCCCAAGAGAAAAACCAGTGCACGAAAAAATCCCTTAGCTACCTAGATAATATACTTTTGCAATTCCAAGATTTCTCAGTCTTCACATTAAATGACATTATATGACATTATAATGAAATTAAGTGAAATAAGGACCCCAAAACTGTATTTCTGTTGCTGTTATGTCCTGTGGGGCTTAGTCAGTGGGGTATTTTCAGAATGCATGCAGGGTGCATCTCTCTCATTGATGAATTCTCTCTGAAAGACAGGGATACATATATGCCTTTGAGGAGAAATAGTTGTGAATCCCTCTGGTATAATCTGAGTGGTTATTCAGGCGTTTGGTTCCAGGCTTTTCTCAGCTAGTACACATTAAAACTGTATGGCCTGTCAGCCCAGGGGAATTCTCTGAACACCATGTCAGAGGCTAATATAAGACATATGCACTTCTAACTCTCCGAGCAGTGCTAATTTACAGTGTAGAAGGAAATTCAAGAAGCAGTGATGCAAAGAAAGAAGCCTGCCTCTGTAGCTTAGTCCTCCCTCTAGAGGGATGGTTTCAGGACTGTTTGAGAATTATAGTATTTATTTTTTTTGGTGAAACACGTGTAAGCATTTCTTATTACAGGAATGCAAGCCATCCTTCCCATATATGTAGCCTACACTGATTCTCCCACTGTCTGTCTTTCATCATTTGCTTTTAAACAAATATTTTTCAAATACTTATACTTTAAAGTATATCTATTTTATATGCCTTATACACTTCACATATTTTTGAAGTACCTGCTTAGTCTGGAGTATTTTCATCTTTGTTTTCCTTTTATGTAAAGAAGCATGATTGAAAGAGAATGTTTCATGGATTCTGGTATTATTTAGATTTAAAGCCTTTTGTAACTTAAAGTAGTTATTTATGGAAAATCATGCTGTTGGACATGCCACTCTTTACTGAAAAATTCCAATCATTGCTAACTAAAATTCAAACTAAATTATTTCAGATTCAGAAACCATAATAGGATGCTGCTGATATTTTTTCAGTTTTGAATTCTAGGAACACAGTAGGACATTATACCCTGGTGTGAATTCAGTTTTGATGGTGCTTTGAGCAGGAGTTTGGACTGGAGACCTACGTAAGGTCCTTTACAGTCTGAATCATTGTATGACAGGATGTCTATCTCATTGACAGATCTTTAGGTATTCCCTTTATGTTTCAATGAGGCTGGGCTGGGCAGTTAAGAGTATGATTACCTCTTCTGCTACTTTGACAACTGGACAGACCTCTCAGGAGTTGGGCAGAAAGTGTGAAGAGAATTGTTGAGGTGTGTACAGAAGGGAGCAGATGTTGTGGATTTTGTCACTGCTGTCATGTGCCTCTTTTCAAAATATGTTGAGGCTGGATGTCTTGGCCTAAAAGGGGTGGACTGGATCCAAACAGAACAAATAGCTAATATTTTCTCTCAGTTTCTTACATATTCAGTAAAGAGAAGTAGGAAGTTAAAATAAGTAATCTGTGTCTGACTCTGGAGGTCTTCAGAGGTGTGTTTTTACTCTGCATTAAATACAGTCTAGAGACCCTGAGTCTTCAGGACAGCTATCTATCAAATACTTTAGGATGACTGTATTGGTGAAATGAGGCAGCTGTCTACCTATCTCTTAACTGTGTGTGCATGTATCTTTACATGAAAGTAAATTCATATATATATTGACATATCTTGGTCACTGTCCAATGTTTTTCAAAATTCTGTGGGTCTGTAACTGCTGCCTGCTCGCAGTAACTATTGGCAATTTTCAAATGTTGCAAAAATTACATGTCTCTTAGGTCATGTCAAGCTATATGGTGCAAATTGCACCACTTGTGTACTTCTTCCTAGTGAATATTGTTACAGTTTTTTTCTTATGTTTCAGGGTGTGTCAGAATGCATGTTTCCTTTTTTCATTGTGAATCTATTTCTTTTTAATACCTTTGAGGTTTGGTAAGGGAACAGAAGGATAGGTGAGAGTAAAGTTAAATAAGATATTAATCTGGTAAGTGGGAGAGACTTTATGGAGAGCAGTAAATCATTCTTCCGTCAGGAAAGGTGACTACAGAACTTGAGCTGTATGCTAATAGTGTGTCAAGACAGTTATTTTGATAGGATAACATTCTTGTACATCTCTGCCATTTTAGTATTTCTTAATATTTGAGGTAAAGACTGTGAGCACTGTATGAGGATAGCTGTAACCATAAAAAAGAAAGCTTTGTAAACCTGATTTGCAGTGGTATAGAGTGCTGTGCAACAGAAAACAGTGTCACTTCACTGTTTTTCCACAAGAGAGCTCATAACCCTTTAAAAAGTGACCATGTATGGCACAGAACAAGACAGTAGCTTGTCTGTTTGAATGGGAAATTTAGAGATAAGAATTCGGTTGTGGAGTCCAAAGCAAATGAACTTTTATTTGTGCTACTGTATTTGGCAACTCTGGAACTGTACAATAGTTTTTATAAATATAGAAGCATCAATCATTTCTGAATGTGTCAACGTGGCACTGAAACAGTGAACTTGGCAAATGCGTATTTGTATGCAGGAGGTAATAAACTGCATTTTTCAATAGAGCATTGCCTGACACTTTTCCTACTGTGTAGGAAATATCTAGTGCCTTTGCAATAGAAGTTCTGAAGTATATTGAATCGGGTTTTCCTGATGCAGTTTCATGTTGTTCTGTGAAATTATTGCTACGCAATAGATCAATGTCCACTTTATCCTAGACCAGAATTAAATGAAGTCAAACTGCTATATGATATTGTTTGAAATCACAGTACAATTTCTACATTTAAATATGCTAAAGTTTTAGTCAGTAGATAAAGTAAATAGTGTGAACTAGAAAATACATTGAAATCTTATGAGCTGCTTTCTCTGGTAAGCCATAAGAAATAATGTAATTTCTATTTATCCTCTTGTCTGTGGTAGATAAAAAACCAACGTTGTCATACTGCATCAAAGAAAATATAGACTCAATATTAGCAAATATTAGCAAATTTTCCAATGACAACATTAAAATACTCTTGATTAAAATTTTTGGGGATTCTATGTCCACAGGTCTTAGAAATAAGCTGGACAAGACAACAGTTGCCAAGCAGGCCAGGGGTTAGACTAGACTGCTCAAAAGACTTTTGACAAACCTTAAGACAGGTTTAAAATGTGATTTGCAAAGAAAAGTTAGGTGATTTTAATGTTTTAACTAATTTTAAGCTTAATCTATGGGTACTGTGCTCTAACAAAAAAGGGTTCGTTCATTAATCTCTCTCCAAGAAGATTACACAGTTCTCTACTATAACATAATGGGATAGATTGCTTCTGTCATAAAGATGCTTGCAGAATGGGTTTAAATTTAGAATATTACATCCCAGTATTAAATGAACAAGAACTTGTTCAAAACTTTGTATGCAATTTTTTTCAGTATCAGTCTTACAGTGGAACTGTTTTGTATAGAGCTAATAGATCTGTAGACTCACTTTAATAGATACTTAGTAATTATGCTATTTCGAACTACATATTCTACATGGGAAATTCAAGGAATTTTGCAGTGTTTACAACATAACCTTATTTTTAATGTTTGTTGGGTTTTTTTTCAAATTGCGTCTTGGTGAGCCTGACATACTGCTTAGAAGAAGTGGAGTCATGTACTGCGTTTTCAAATGCTTTGTGAGAGGTAAAACCAGTTTTCTTTCCCAACAAAAGTAAACTAACCTTATCTGATTTTAAGTGGAATTTTTAAAGATAGATATGTTTGCATCTAGAGTGGGTAAATCTGATTGCATTTTAAATGACTTTTTTAAATTAGAAAACTGTCTTGTTGAAACAGCAAAAAGGAAAAGTGAGGGAGAGTAGAATTGCATCAAATTGGAATTAATAAAATAAACATTAAAATACAGTATTACAAAATTGAACAGTCTAAGTACTGACTTTTCCTGTAAATAACTACACCTGTACTTGAAGTAGATGAAAGTATAGTAAAGAGGTAATTAAGCCAGGAAATATGCAAAAAAGAACTGTACTGTACACATAAACCTGGGAGGAGAATTTTGCTCCTGTGGAGACAAAACCCCAAAGTTATTGTTAAACATCTCTGGTCTTGTCAAATGTCACCAGAAGCTATGGTTAAACAACTGAGCTGAGTGCAGTGTCTCCCTTGACTACAATGAGATCTAAATTTCAAATATTTAGCTACCTGCACTGAATAGTCTGAAGCTGTGCCTCAATGAGTAACAGCCCTCAGAAATTCCATACTCTGAAACCTTACAGCCACCTTGTTTGAGGTAGCTCAAGGGCATGAGTGAGGTCTGTGAACAAGAGTAGGTTATTGAGCAGTAAGCTAATATTTGAGTTTCCAGCCTATCAACTACATGGATGTGATTACTTTTAACCTGAAGTAAATGAAAGCTGGCTTACTGCTTGGAGAGAACTGCTTCCCTCCTGCCAGAGAGGTACAAAATGTGCAAGTAGATTATGTGCACATATTGTGAAATCTATTGTTCACCCCTTTGCTTATCATGGGGCAATATGCTTACATGCAAAATAGGAAGTGAATATCTACTTTTCTTTCTGTTCTTCTTGAATGAAGCAAAAAGGTATGTGTGTCTTGTAGTAAGTGACGTAGTGATTTTAACAGGGATAATGAAACAAACTTTTACTAATATTAAACAGATCATTAGCAGGCACAGGTAACTGTACTTTGATTCTTGAAAGAACTATTGACAGGGGTAATGTCAATTCTTAATAAATCTATGACTTTCAGCTTGCATTAAGGGCTTGCACTTAGGTCTGTGCAGACTAGAGGAGTGCCATGACAGAGATCTGCTCAACGTTGAGTTCCAGAAGATACTGTTTTATATTCGTTATTTCAGTGCATTTGAAATGCATATGCATAGCAGGTCACAATACAGCATGTTACAGATTTACTGTAGATCAGCTGCATAGCTGTTCAGCACTTGTACAATAGCCATTTATGTTATGTTTTTGGATAGTGTCTAAAAATACAGCAGATTTCACTGAGGAGTGTTGGCTGTTTCCTGGGTTATTTATATTGCAGTGTGTAACTCTTAGACTTCCCTGTTGCAGCTGTTCTGATCTATCATGGCTGGGCTTCACGAACAAAGATTTGGGGAGGACTCTACCCACGCTTGCTACAAGCGCGCTGGTGGCTAAAAAGGCCAATAAGAGATAGGCACGTCCGGCTGCAAAAGACACAGCAGAAAGACTCCTTAGGTCGTAAATTCTGCAAGACACGATTCTTTCTGCATTGTCTTTTCTCCTCAAGGGTGATCCTGCGTGTGTTCTCAAAGGCATCCGCAGCGTTATAGATGGTGTGTCTCCAGACCTCCCGATTGGAGGCCGGAGTAGACCAGTTATGGTGATCAATATGGCCAAGGCTGAGATGTTGTTTCAGGGAGTCCTTGTATCTCCTCTTTGGGGCTCCTCTCATGCGGCAACTGGTGGCAAGTTCACCATAAAGCAAGATCTTAGGGAGACGGTGATTCTTCATCCTGGAGACGTGCCCTGACCAGGGCAGCTGTGTTCTCAGCAACATGGCCTCAATACTTGTGACTGCTGCCTGTTCTAGAACAGATGTATTGGTCACATAATGTGACCGGTGGATGTTTAGGATTGTACGGAGGCAGCGTTGATGGAAGTGTTCTAGGAGTCGCAGGTGGCGGCAGTAGATGACCCATGATTCGGACCCGTATAAGAGAGTAGACAACACTAAGGCTCTGTAAACACTGATCTTTGTACTTTTCTTCAAGTGTTTATTTCACCAAACTCTTTTATGAAGCTTTCCGAAGGCACTATATGCCTTTGCTAACCTGTTGTCTATCTTTCCATCAATCTTACCATCTGAGGAGATGAGGCTACCTAGGTAATTAAACTGCTGGACTGATTTGAGCTCTGATTGACCAGTGGTGATATGGGGATGATGGATGATGTTCTGATCTATAAGGCACACATATACAGCTACTTAATATTCGCTGGGACAGAAGCAAAGTGAAAAATTAACTCTGTAGTTTGGTGGTTAGGGTACTTGTCTGGCACAAAGGAAGGTTGCTGCTCCAGTGAGTATGTTTATTTATTTTTATGATGTATAGATATAGTCTGCATTAGCATAATTTCACTTGCCAGACCTGAATCACTTTACAACAAGTGTTTTTCAAGGTATGTATGAGCTCTGTACTGGATATGCTTCCAGTGTCTGAATCTCATCCATTTTGATGCCCTTTTCAATGAATCCTCTAAGGTCATCAGACCTTTAAAGCAAGGAGTTATGTACTGAATGGGATATAATTTACTAACTTTTCAAAAGAATGAAAAGAGGTGTATCTAAATTCCAGTGGACATTCCCCTCCACTGCTATCACCATGATAGCCAAAGGCTGGCTGCTTGTTAAAATGAACTTGTGAAAAGTATAGCATAGATGTTCTGCAGTCAGGCTTATTATGAGGCTGAGAGAATTTCTTTCAAATCAAGTTAATGTGTTATTTTTTTACTGAAGTATACCAAGTCTTTGTCCCCTATTTGTGTAAAATGTGTTATGTATGTATAAATATAATTATTTATTGTTAGGTATCTAAAAATAATGAAAAAATTGAAAAATCGTAGTTCCTTATATGGTACTTATGAGCTCTTTGTGTTTTGTAAGATAGGATAATGTAGTTATAATTTAAGATGTTTGTAGATGTACACAATGGGACCAGAAATTTGAAGTTATAGTATGGCTTTCCTTTGTGCTTCCATTATGTCCGTACAATTTTAAACTAAAACAGTTTACAAGCCAGTTTTCTTGATTTTGCCTAACACAATTTTAACCTCATGTTATTTTAAACAAATTGTTGGTAATGTAAGATACCTGATTATCTCACCAATGAGTATTTAGTTTTTCATTCCTGATCTATTACTTAAACGCTGCAAGGAAGAATCCTATAAGCAAAGTAAGGCCTACTTCAACCATATTAAAATTTTGTGTATAATTTGATTTGTTTTCTGCTATGTGACTTGTGTTATACTGAAGCTATTACCTGGCTCAGTTCTCCCACAGACAATTTCCCTTTCTCATTCTGATTTTATTGTAAATGATTGTCAGCATAGTACAGGAAACTGCAAATTCAATTTTGATCAATCCCATGAGGGACTTGATAGTTCATGACTTACTCTTGTTGTTTTAAACATAAATTGAAATAGCCATCTAATTTAAGGGTTTCCTTTGGAGTAGAAGATTAAAATCTATAATTTCTTTTATTCAAGATCTTTTTCTTTATTGTGTTGTTAGGTAGAATCTAATATTTAAGGAAATTTTGTAGTGATTACCCCCTTGGGAAAGATGTAGCTCATTTAGTATTTCCATTTTATTTTTAATGGTTTATTAAACTGACTTTTTTCTTTCTTTCTTTTACACCTGGTGATCATAAACCTGCTGTTTTCTTTTAAAGATAATTTTTTTTGGTATTTATTATAATTGAAGTTTTAAAGATAGCCCTTCCTCTAGTCACTGCACTGATTCCTTACTGTGAGGCAGATTAATGACCCCTTTGGTTTAAAGAACTTTAATTTTGCTTCCTCCCTCTGTGTTACTGTGATACAAACTAGCCAAGATTGTGGAAGATCCAAGTGAGAAGTTAGAAGGGCACCATGAGGAGAAGAAGAGGTAACTGCATTGCAGTGTGACCCTACAAGAGGAAAAGGGTACTCATCCCAGTAAATCATTGGGATGAGGTTCAGGGCTTGATTCAGCTGCACAACAGGAATCTATTTAGTACTGTTTTAGCTGTCGTAGGGTGTCCCATCTGTCTTCCAGACCTAACACTACAGAGAAATGCTGGTCCTGTTTGTCGTCTGTCATATCTGCTGATCCCATGGAGGATATCCTGCATAACGTTGAGAAAAGAAAATAGTAGTGTATTTTGGGCAGAAGATTCAAGTTCACTCTTTCAGACTCTAGAGGTCAATATGTAGTGTCTACATGTGAAGTAGGGGCTTTTAGTCCCATAATGGTCAAAGGAAATGAGATCAAATATGTCTGTTTTAAATGGAGTTAAATAACTACAATACTTATACCTTTTTACTTATATAGACTGTATGTAGTGTATATGCATATTTTAAAAGTAAGGGGCTAAGTTATATTGAAGCCCTGGACAACACCAGTGTAACAGAACAGTCACTGGTGCCTGAGGGGAAAAAAAAGATTAAAAAAATTGTGATTAAAATTGCTGCTTTTCAGAAATATCACAGTTTTTGAATTAGATACAGAATAGACAAGGCAGTAGGGTGGAAAAAAAAAATCATGATCGTAGGTTTGTTCTTGCTTCTAACTACAGATTTGCTTCCCTACCTGAAATAGTTCTTTGATAGTCAACTTCTCTCCTTGCAGTTGCTATGGTACCTAATGCAACTGGAACAGGAGCATACTGTCAAACAGATTTGGGAAAATGCACAGAGGTGCATATCTTCTTAAATCTCCTCTCTTATAAAACTGATCAAGAGCATTTATACTAGGGACATAAATAATTAAAAATACCCATGTCAATTAAAGATCTTTTAAAAATATCTAAGCATCAGCTTATGTCTGCGTAGTGATCAGAGGAATGGCTTAAAATAACCAAATAAACAAATCAGAAGTTTGTAAATCCTAAAAATCGAAGTATGAGAGAAGTAATGAGAGAA